CAGAATTAACGATATTGATTGTTTGACTTCTTTCGTGATCTTTAATGAATCCAGCCTTCTTGAAGCCATTCATTATCGTAGAGAGAGACACATCATTCCATGCCACTGACGTCTTTATGTCCATTTTTTTAAAAAGTTTATCATTATGAGAATTTGTTTTCTATTCTTAAATTTTTAATTTTTTTTGGAATATTTTTTTTATTTTCAGAAAAAAATTCTTCACCATTTATGGAGAAAAAAAATTCAAGTTATCAAGGATTAGAAAAAAAAATTCGTGAAATCAAGTTTTTTAAAACATTGAGTGCATAGGAAATTTGAAGGGAGTTTTTTTCTCTTCGAGATATTGAAAAATTCGTGAAATCGAAGTTCGAGTTAGCGAGGTTTGACTGTATTTATTTCTACTTTTGGCTTATTTTATTCTTATTTATTTTAACAATTTCAATAATCATTGTTGAGAAATGGTGGCTCAGAGGGTAGAGCGTTTGCCTTCCAAAGAGGTGCCCCAGGTTTGAAATTATCATCCAGAGTATCATCCAGAGGTGCCCCAGGCAGCGGCTGGATGATACAAATTCTACTCCCAGTTTGTACCGACTACAGTTCTGATGCAAAATATTCTTGATGGTAGATGTATCACGAGTTAGAATCTACTTGCTGACAGGCTTACTGTGGGAGGTTTTTTTGAAGTTTTCCTCTTCATGCAACACAAATGCGGGCTGCTTCCATCAAAAAGTTTTCCGTGAAGGCTAGTTTCTCCCAATGCTTGATCCAAGAGTTCACTTTGTCTTCTGGGTTGGGCTCAAAAATTACAAGGCAATGGAACTGAACATTGAAAGTCGTAAACTCAAAATTTGGACAGCTATTCGATACTGGTTATAAAACAAAATAATCATTGTTGCATTTTGATGTTTCATCAAATATAGTATTAAGAACACCATCTAAATCCTCTTTGCCAATATTTTTTTTAAATTTCGTTAATCACTAACCCTTAAAAACTTCAGATTTATACTACTTTCTAAATTATCTCACTCCACTTACAAAATAATAGCACATAAAATAGAATTGAAATGGATTGTTTTTGACTGATTACAACTCAGCAAAAATGTATACAGAAAACAGCAAAATGAAATCAATATTTCTTAATCAATAAAATGTATAGCAATTTTTAGTTACTTGACGTTGCAGAACAGGAGAATCTCTTGTAATAGACAATCGACCAACAGTACCATATTCTGCTCTATAAAATACAAGATGAAATAAGAGAATATTAAAATTTAGAAGCAGATTTCTTTACATCTCAAAATTAGCTTAGCTATATGAAAAAGAGTAAAAACAAAAGATACAAATAAAAAAATGCATATAGTTTATAGCTTAGGGAAAAAAAATTATAATTTTATCTATTAAAAAAAAATCCTAATATATATCTTTAAAAGTTCGAAATGGAATAAAAAACTTAGCATGACTGTTTTATGAAAATCAAGTAATAATATTAAACAGTTTCATAAAATAAAGAAATAATGTCATTGAATATCAAATTATTATAATATTTATTTAATAAATCACCAAGTGTTAATGTCAGACAATGAACAACATGCACTTCGATAAGAGTTGAAAATTATTTGAATTAAAAATTTTATGATTTATTTATTGCACCTTTTTGGGGCCCTTCGCAGAAAACAAAAATAAATATTTAGTTGCAAACGGGAGAAAGTTTATAAGTCTTGAAGAATATTTAAATGATAAATAAATGAAGAATATTTAAATGAACTTGAAAGTATATTTAATCTCTCTCACTATTTTAAAATGTAATGAGGAAAAGATGACTCTTTGAAATACATTCTGCCTAAATGTATTGGCACAGAATGCTTATAAGATGATGCAATGCTGTTATATGAAACAAAAGTAAAATCACCCCTTCAAGACAAAATAGACATGTAAGGATTTTGCAGCAGGGTATACAATAATCTAAATCAAATCTCATTAAATCAGTGGCCTCAAACATTCAGGGAAGAAAAATAAATTTCCCCAACATTTACTTGATTTTCTAGACTGATTTTATCAAATTTTGCTGATTTTTGTAACTGGTGACAAATTTCATTATTTATTTTTGAACTATGAACTATTCTTAGACATAAAAGCAAAGTAAAAGTGAAGTATTAAGAATAACTTTTGTTAAATCAGTAAAATTTGAAAAAATCATCACTCCCAATCCCTACAACTGTTAATAGTAACAACTTAACAATAACAACAATTACCTAACAATAATAGACTAATTAAACTTAGTAAAATTACAGTCGGCTAACCACATTTATCACAACTGACAATCCAATTTGGTTTATTCCTAACAATTTTGAAGTTTCAACTTCTGCATTCACTCTATTATTATTATTTTTATCCATTTCAGCACTTGTATTCATTCATAAAATTTTACATGCTTTGAACAAATTACTTTTAATTTACATATTTTTAATATTTTTTTTACAAATATTTTTTCATAAACTTCTGCAATTATTATCTATCTAACTTTCAAAAAATAATAATGCAGTAGAGTAGAACACCTGATTAGACACCCTAGCACTAGGGATCAAGGGTATATCGGAAAATCAAAATCCAGAACTTGCTCTTTAGGCAGTACTGTGAAAATGCTGCGGCAAAAAACTGGAGAAGGAATGCGATTTCTAATAAGATGGGTTGAACAAGTTATTCCTTTCTTCCAACAAATATCCAAACAAGTAAGTGTGGTATTGCTTTTATGATGTTTTGTTACTTTTATATATATGTGGTATTGCTTTAATGATGTTTTGTTACTTTTGTCTTTGCTGCACTGCTATAATTACTTTAAAGCACTTTCCTTGTAATGTTGCCTTTTGGATCTATTCTTACATAAAAGCATTTTTAAAAAAAATTTGAGCAATACAGAAGACAAACATATAATACAACAACTTTTCAATATTATACAAAACTTCAAAGTAAAAACAAAGAAAAATATTAATTAAAAATGGCATGCCAAAATTTATTAAAAGTAAATCGAATGACTAACTTTTCATGATCTTTGAAGCAAACACATGTAAGAACCAACAAGAATACTACAACAAGAAATAACAATGCACAGATCCAAGATAGCTCTGGAATAATAGTTTGGACTGCCATGTGGTCAATCATCAAGAGTTAAATACTGCATCTGATCTTCACATGAATGGCCATTTCTTTAAGAGCTATATAGAAAAAAAAAAAAGTTAAGCATAAAAATAAAAGCATCGCAAAAATTTGTTAAAACATTAGGCAGTATTGAAGACATTGTGTAAAAAATGATAATCCACATTTAATAAAAATTTCACTTCCCTACTGTGAATAATTACTGTAGAGTGTTTTTTATCTGGATTGGCTGATTCAGGCTAATAGGTTACTGAAAAACAAGATAATCAGACATTAAAAAAAAAAAAAAAAAANAAATTAAAAAAAAAAAAAAAAAGCTGTGGTAATAAACTTTCCCAGTCTTAGAACTAGCAATTGTAACAATGCACTGTATATTTTAACACATTACAAATAGCATCTTAGCGTGTTAGTAAAACCAGCTTGTCATAGACCCGTAGTTATGGCATTAGGACAAGTTTTATATTCAGCAATGCCTTTTGTTGTATTTCATTTGATATCAACAGTTTCTCCCTCTGGTCTTCAATTTTTACAAAAAATGAAACTAAATGTTTGATCTACATCTTCAGAATTTGAGTTTTAAATTTCACAATGTCTTTTTTTTTTAGCTTCTTTTTTTGTTTAAAACAAAACTTTAAACTGAAAACAGTCTTGTTGTTTTTTTACACCAATAGTCATTGTGTTAATGCCTCATTCAAATACAATGATTTTTCCATTTGCTCCTTTTACATCGATTACAGTATAAATTTTTAAATGCACTTTCCAGATATGTTTTATAAACCTTAAAACAGACAGGCAGCTGGATTAACATCTACTGTATAGCCAATAAGAGCTTTATTATTCAGCACAAGTAATTTTTAGCGAATGCAAAATAACAAATGTTAGCAATAAGTTTTAAAATTTAAAATGTGTTAGACAAAATATATTTTAAAAAACATAAATACATGAAACTATAAAATAAAATGAGCACTCTCACTTTTTACCACTGATGTCTCTGAACAATATTTATTAAAAACAAATAAAAAAATTAACTGATTATCTAACAATGCCAACAAAAAATTCCATACTGGAAAAGCTAAAATACAACTTTTGATTTGTTATGGACAGTTTCAAGGTAAGGTCCACCAAATAAGTAAAATTCAATTAGAAATATTTACTAAGCAAACAATGCGTCATTTTAAAGATAAAAAGTTGAAGATTAATTATTAACTCAATAAATTTATTTTTTAATTAGTTACAGGCTGTTGAATGAAATATATAATTTGAAATTTTTGGTCACATTAAGTGACTTTCAAAGAAATCTAGATTTTTTTATTAATCCACATTAATATTTAGAAGTGAAGTGTATAATCATTGAAGTACATTATATCATATTTTATTAGTATGGTCCTGTAGCATAATCATGTAGAATTACTGCCCATTTTGATTTTTACAAGAATTCTCTTAGGGCACTTCAGATATTTTACATCCAATATCAAAATGCATAATTATTTGATCTGAGGATATAAAATTAGAGCTAGAAAAATAATTTTTCTGTTAAAAGCAAGATTCTATAGCTAATTGGTATATAAACTATTTAAATTTTGTGAAGTTTGAATATTTCTTCCGTAAATGAACAGGAGCGTCGTGAACTTCGAATTTTGGGAAGGGGAAAATTTCATTTTATCGAATGAAATTCCTAATTGGACCAAATCATAAATAAGCAATCTTTTTATTCTTCTTAATTTAATAAATTTGTTTAAAAATGATATTGATTATCATAAATACCTAATTAATTTAAACAACATAAAAAAACAATCTGGTAATTATTGACTTGGTTTTAGAAGTTGATGAAATTTAAATTTGTGCTTATAGTTATTGTTGAAATTTTTATTCCACTTCCACTAGAGAAAACTTTTTAAAAACGTATGGCAGCAAAGTAATTGGCGATCGAAATGGGCTGCAGGTGGCGTAGAGCAGAACTTTCTATCTATGGCAACACTTCACATGCTTTCCCCATTAGCGCGTGAAAAGTCAAAGAGGAAGGAAGTATGTCAGTAGTAAGAAGTAAGTCAGTTTCTCTCCTGATTTTCATATAGATTAAAATCTTTTAAGTTGGAAAACTATATGGAACTGAAAACTAAATTAAACATTGTTCTAAAAAAAAGTATCACTGGAATTTTAAAAAATATTTTTATTAAATAAAATGGAAAAATATTAAGAAAAGGGAAAATATCCTAGTATATTCCTATACAACTGAAAAGAGGAGGAGAGGGAAGGGCATAAGGCATGAAGCCGGTCTCTACCCAGATGGCGCATTCGAGTGTTGCGATCTCTAATAAGCACAATTTATCTAATTTAGTATCAACGAACAAGTGTATATCTAATTTTTAAATCAAGTTTACTAATAGATAGGGAAATAGATTTACTATAAAGTGGAATGATTTTTATGTATAAAAAATCAATGAACTAACACTTTTATTTAATCATTAGAAAAATGATATGTTTAGCTCAGCAAACGTAGCTGAATATTGAATATAACTTTATTGGTATTTTTTTAAATACATTTATTTGTCAAATTAAAAAAAATAAGATAAAACCCAGAATCTATGTTAAATAAAGTATATACAAGGATATAATTCATTTGCTTCAATAAAAAACTGAATATGATCATTTTTGGCACCAATCCAATATATTGCTGATATAATGATTTTATACAAATAATTCCAGTTGATACATAAAACAATTAATGAACCATTTGATAAATGAAAATTTTAAAAAAAAAAATCTCACACAAGTTAAAGACAGAAGTAATTTTTTTCACTGTCAAACAAACTGCATAACAAATAATGTGGTTAACTGCAAATCTCGCCAAACATCGAATTAAAAAGTATGTTCTAGGTATTGTTATGATTTTGATTTGTTTTAATTATTGATTAAAATTATAGTCGTATTAAATGTCTAGTAAAAACCAATTTTTCAAAAAATTATTCAAATTAATCTTAATAAAAAATCAGAAATCAAATATCTTTGCTTCATTTTTCTTAACAATAAACAATCATAAATTTAAATTTTGGCATTATATAAACTGAATATTAAAACGTGAAAACCAAAGTCATACCAAAATCATGTTTGTTGTATTTTTCACAAATACCCAGATTTAACCCAACTCTGCAACAATTTATAAAATGTTCACCTAGTTGCAAATAGATAGATTCAAATCTAAATCAAACACATTTACTAACCACTGCAGCTTTTTCTAGAGCAACCTAGCTTATAAGATGATTTGGTCAAGCCATATGATAGAAAAAGAATAATGCTTAAACAAATTAAATAGACAATATACTTTAGAAACAGTAAGATGATTGTTACGATTTTCAACATTTATTTAAAACTTTTATAAGAATGTCCGTAAAAGTTTAGTTTTATTTTTCAGGAAAATCAGAACAACTTCAAACCCACGTAAGTGCACAATAAAGTAATTTTTTAATGAACCATATTAAAAAAAAATTTTTTGGCACAAAGCACACACATAATGCTTTGTATTATGAAAACATCCTATTTACAGATTAGGGACCAAAAAACAAATGGGATGTGACACTTTATTTTATTTACATCAATTTAAAATTACGCACAATAATACTATAAGAATCAATTCCGAGTTGTAAAAATGTAGAAACAACCACATGCTTTTATTCACCTTTTTAATTATAATGGAATCCATACGTATTTTTTTAATTGGATGACTTCATCTACAAACAGATGAAGCAGCAAATCTCAATTTCTAAATAATGATACTGAAAGTAAACAAAAAGAGTAGGTTTATCGTCTATTTATTGAAACTAAAATCTCTAATAATTTATTTAACAAAGTGCTCGTAATAACAGTAGTCTACTTTAAAATAGTTATTTCATTATTCAACAAGTTAATAATAAATAATTTTTCCGGATTTATTTTGCCAACAAACTTTATTATAAAAAAATTCGCGGTTCTAGTTAACTGGTAATTGACAGTTGACTCAAATTAAATATAAAAAAATAAAGAACTATTTTCACTAAAACAATGAAGCTAACGCAACTGACGGAGCAAGGCATTGACGACATAGTTGAAGAACGTGATTGGTGAGTTTTACACAGAGGAATGCATTTTACAAATCACGATGTCTCTCTGTGGACTGATAGTAAAGACACGGTTCCCAGCAGAACACCGAAGTCAAGTATCACTGGCTGCGGTTAATAAGCGGGTGGGTGACCACTTTGATCAGCCTGCAAAGGGACAGAGAGTCTGCGGTGCTGGTTCTCGTTAATATGTTCCCCGTATAGGGCTCGACTCCACGCGCAGGTAGTAGGGCTGCCAAAGCGGAGGAGGCATCCCTTCTGCAGAGGATCAAAATTGCGATGTCATGTCTTCGGATCATCCTCGGGGGTGATTCCAGACTATCGCCAATAGCCCATTGTGCAGCTCTTGTGCGACATAAATAAAATACCTTAACTGAGCTGGTCACGATCGCTTTCTTCTTAGAATGTGATCAGAAATGCCTTAATCGCATGCAACGAGAATGGCTCTTCATTAAGACTGCACTGCTCGAATACGCTGTCTAGGGAGAACATCGATTCCATGTTAGAAACCTCTTTCTCTATTATGTCTTATATATTAAAATATTTCCACTTCCATGACTTTATTATTTAGACTGTTAAACAATTTTTTTTATAAGTAAAGTAGCCTTTTAGAGTGAAAATACAACACAATAAAATTAATTTAAATCGAAACTAATATTACGATGGCTAAACGATTTCAGCAAAAATTCTTGAAGAAGGGGGTGCATGAGGGGGATATATGTTCCTTACTTAAACCAATAAGTAAGAAAAAATTCTCTGAAAAAAACTTAAAATTGAAACTTTCCAAGAAAGAGGAATTTTTAGGGAAAAAAAATTACTAGCGTTAAATTCACAAATAAAATTTCCCGAATCAAAATTTCACGTGAGTAGTTTGTCAAATTAATCTGACAAGAAGATTGAAATTACTCTTTAAATTATTAATAATTATTTAATGTCATTTAATTATTGACACCATTTTTGATCAACCAGAAAAGAGGATTGAATACTTGGTATTAAATAGGTTATGATCATCAGTTGGTCAACTGAATCCGATTTGACAAATAACAAATCATAATCTCGCTCTCCAGTAGGTACTGGGGAAGATAGCTAACCCTAGTATACCAGCAATATATAAAGATAATTTGAAATATAAGAAACACGCTTTTGTAAAAATGATAAAAACTTAACAAAGTGTTAGTAATTTAACACACACAATTTGCTGCAGATAAATATTTGTGGGCCCACTTTTCAATTAAATGATTTTTTTGAAAATATTTTAATAGTTTTTCTGACTATCTATCAGCTCAGTTTAAAGTCATTTGTTCATATTTCGTGATTTCATTTAAAATTGTAAACTTTAACCCTCACTTTAAAAATTCAAATGTTCAAAAGCGTGAGATATAGAAATATTAAAATAGATGTTGACATTTTTGTTATAGAAAAAAAAAATCAATCTGAAGTTACAGACTTCAGTATTGTTTCCCTTTGGTGAAAAAAAAAGGCACCTTGGTCGTTATTAAGACGTTCAGGACATCAGTATTGTTTCTTTTTTTTAATTTCCTATTTATGTATTTTAAATGACACTTATGGTCGTTATTCCGAAGTTTAGGATTTCAGTATTTTTTGGACCATTTTTGCTGTATTACGGCTGTTATCCACAAAAGGAAGAAGAGTTCCAAATCTCAGCAATATTGTGCTAGAAGATCTTAGTTTCAAATATATCCTGTATTAAGAAAAGTTTTATCTATTTGTGGACTTGACCACAAACAGAGGGGAATCAGGACAAAGAGTCATCAGGAAACAGGGGTATCAGGAAACAGAGGAATCAGGTCTTGACCACAAACAGAAGAGAACAGCCATCGCCCCATATCTTTTTGATAGATAAAAGTATTCGCTGAATTTGAAGAAAATTTAAAGGGTCGGATCTTCCAGAAAGAGGAGACCACACATTCCTTAGAACCATGTTTAAGCAGGTCATGTTCAGTATATTTTTATATATTTAATTTTATATTTAACTATGAAAAACCGTTAAACTATTAAATTTAATATAAAATACGCATTTGAAATAAATTTCAAATAACTTCTATTATTAAACTTCATTAATATTTAAATTATTACGTCTGTTTACTACTTAAAATAATTTGAGTTTGTCAAGTGGGTGGCACCATCGCAATTTTGATACATGAACTATTTCCGTATTTTCTTTATTATGAATGTCCATTTTATTTATTTTGTAATTAGCATCAGAAATTTGTCAAGAATTTTATATGATCTTTGTTTATGTTTAGTTAGCCATCTATCCAGAACAATTTTACTAAATTTGGAGATGTCTGTTGTTGTTGTTGTTGCAATTTGCCAACATCAGCATGCCTGCTTAGGGAAACCAAACGAATTTAAATCAGTGGGTGAGTTTCTTGTTTTTCAGTGGTGTCATCAATGGCCAACACACACGTCACACCCTGTTTATAGGATGAACAAATTCATTCATCCACAACTCGTAATTTTGACCAGAACCAGAGTCAATTTTTAACCAATTTAAGACAATTAATAATCTTGCTGATCTTAAATTTCTACTAAAAACCACTAAAGACATAGTGACAAGTTTACATTTTAAACTATTATTTTATTTTATATCCGTCGTTGAACAGTCGACCTAATTTTTGGGTTTATGACTACTAATGTTTAACTCCGTAGCCTAGTAATTTTGAACCAATCCAGAAGACAAGGAAACTCCTGGATCAGTACCCTCAGAGGTATCGATTTGTTATGGGAACACGGAGGACTTTAGGAATCGATAGATTTAACGTGCATCAATCACCATTTACTACACGGGGAGTCTTCCTGCAGGCGGGGATCGAATCCGCGAACTCCTGGACATGGGCCCAGTGCCCTACCGGCCAGGCTATCACGGCCTAACTTAAATTATTAGAACATAAAATTTATATTAAATAAATAATCCCAAGAAATTGAAGCGGTAAGCCACAGCATCTCTGATAAATCCTGAAAATGGGCCCCTATTTTTGCTGCGCATGAAAGATGTCGACTGTTATTTCTTATTTGTTATTGATTTATTTGCATAAGAGAAGGAAATTTTCTATCAGGTAATACAACTTACATGTTTGTTTTCGATGTTTCTAATTTCAATTGCCAATATCAGCAAGTCTACTTGGTGATAGCAAGTGAATTTAAGGCAGAGGATGCGTTTCCAGTTTTTCATTGGCTCCATCTCTAACCGAGAATCCGACTTTAACCACATACACGTCACAGCCCGTTTATAGGGAGAACTCATTGATACATCCATTCATTTATTCACAGATTGTAATTTTGATCTGAACCAGAGAACAACCAATCTCCAATTCAGCACCCGCAGAGATATAATTTGTCATGAGAACATGGAGGATTTTGTGACACAACAGATTTAACGTGTACCACTCATCATTTACAACACAAAGTGCCTTCGACTGGCAGGATTTATATTTTTAGAATGATAATATGAGTTTGGGAAAAAATTTAGTGAACTTTAAATTACTATTAATTTAGTTAAAAAAAATGGCGTTTACAAAATGGTGTATGGAACTAGGTGTTTATGTTCCATGGTATGGCACATTGCAATAAATACCGATTCTTTCACAATATGCTGACCTGCTAGATTTTCTTCAAATACTCCAAGTTTAGATAACGGAAGAACAGCACAAGATTGTGTTTCCATAAGATTTTGTTCCACAAGCTATTTTATGTCTTATTTTTATTTAGTTACAAGGTTTCTTTAATAATAATATTTTATCCAACAAGATTTTTTTTATTGGATATCAACGATACTTGCTTTAATTATTTATTTTTTTAATTCAGAAATTAAAATAAAACCTTGAAGAATTTCGACGCATTTGCTAAACGAATTTTATTCTAGCAAATGTACAAGTTTTAACACTTACAAATGCAAAAAAATAAATAAATAAAATGTGTACTACAAATTTAAAAAAAAATGCTACTTGATGCTGATCTATTGAACTGTTAAATAACTAAAAATTATTTAATCGTTATTGATTATCGTTTCCGCATCATGATTTGTCTCGCCAACTATAATCGCCAAGGCGCTAATTGGATATTTTAAACATGCAAATATTTTTTAAGAAAGCATGCAATGGTTATGTAACATGTTATGCCTATCAATCTATATAATTGTAGAGTGAATGTGGTTGATGGTTAAAAATAGACTTTGATACTCATTTATCGCGACATTGAATAATTAGTTAGACACTTGTATTGGAATAATAAGTTATACGTAATATTTACTTAGAATAGAAATATTTGCATACGCTTCTTATAAAATTGAATAAAAATAAACTAACCGGTTTATCTATTTAAGGAGTGATTAAGAAAGATAAAAATTAATTAAATTCATGAAATAAAGGAAATTAAAAAGCCAGGAAATATGTAATGTCTGTAATGGCATTACAATGCCCTTCAACTCATCCCTTTCTTTTTTTTTATGCTTTTTGTAGACAGGTGCACGGAGGACAAGAGACATATTCTGCCGCAAATCACGATACGGAAATCTTCATTATTTTCCATTCAGAGGCAATAATAAAACAACAAAACTACAGCAGATTTTACAATATGCTTAAAATTTAAAAAATATTCAAATTCATCAATATTTTAAAGTAATCAATAATTCAAAATAATCAATCATTCAAAATAATCAATCATTCAAAATAATCGATATTTCATTCAGTCAAATTGTTTTGTGCAAACATAACTTGTAAGCAATCCAAATTTCTGAAACTGCATTGCTAATGTGTTTCTTTTAAGTTAATTTCTTTATAACTAGTGATAAACTGCCGACCCAATTTTTAGTTTACGACTACCAATGTTCAACTCCGTATCCTTTTTATTTTGAACCCAACCCAGAAGACAAGGAAACTCCTCAATCAAGCATTGAGGCAAAATAACCTTCGTGGAGGATTTTGAATGGAATTAACCCGAATTTGCGTTATATAGAGAGGAAAACCTCCTACGATAAGTCCGATGGCAAGGGAATTCTAAATCATGACTCACCTACCACTGAGGATGTTTTACGCTA